CTCGTGCTCCTTTTATTTTTCGGGGGTGGACAGATACCCCCACCTTCCACACGTCGATTCGTGAACTGCCCGTCGTCGGTTCTCGAGAGGGCGCCGCGACCGTCAGTTTCCAGGCTTGCGCCCGCCAGGTTTGGGCCCCAGGTCGTGTTCACGAAACCACGTGTTACTAAAGCGAGGAGGAGGAGGAGGAGGAGGAGGAGGAGGAGCAGGAGGAGGAGGAGGAGTCTGTCCATCCCCGACTTTTGCTCCGCGGCCGAAGTCTTACCTTCTCCTCGTTCGTCCTGCCCCTCTCCCTTGTCGCCCTGCCATGGCAGCTGTCCTTCCCCCCCGCCTGCTCCCCGCCGCTCCGCCTCCTCCGCCGCGCCCTCCTCCTTCCTTATTTCCCCTCCTCCTCTTCATTCCTCCAGCCGCCTCCGCCTTCGTGCTCTCCCTCTTCAACGCTTATCGTTCCTCGCTTCTCGCTCCTCCCTCCCACCCGACTACGGGAAACGATTGCGCGCGACCGCATCCGAATCCCGCACTTCCGCCGCGACGCGACGACCAAGGGCGACTACCCCACCTACGCGCGAAATCGGCGGGAGAAAGACAATGAATGTGACGTGCGAAGATGCAGAAGACGACAGAGAAAGGACAGGCCACTTAGAAGGCTTGTTTCCGGTGGGTGATACTACCGTATTGAATCGTCTTGTTAGAAAGCTAGTAGTCCGTTGTTCACCTTTGTACCTGGCGTCAGTCATGACGCGATGACGTGCCAGGAGGTTCCTCCGTAAAGCCGAGAGGGCCGAGGACGTTGGATGCGGTATTCATCTGACCACAGTGTGTTCGAGCACGGTCGTGCTTCGGCTTTCGTGGGCAGTGCAGCGCAGAGGCCAGTGATGGCAGTTGGCCGCAGTAAGGCACTTCCGCACCTGAGGTCCTCCTCCTCCTCCTCCTCCCTCCTCCTCCTCCTCCTCCTCCTCCCCCTCCTCCTCCCTCCTCCTCCCTCCTCCTCCTCCTCCTCCTCCTCCCTCCTCCTCCTCCTCCCTCCTCCTCCCTCCTCCTCCTCCCTCCTCCTCCCTCCTCCTCCGCCGCACCCGACTTGGACAGCTTCGGCGGCCCGTCCCCGATGACAAGGCACGCGCGCCTGGCCTCGCAGCCGGCGGGCCGCGATCGGCGAGCACGCGCCGCCCCGAAGCCTTGGCCCAACTGACGGGCGGGCCGTGCAATGCCCACGTCGTGCGTCGTATTCTTCGTGGCGCCGCTCGCTTGAGCGACGGCAGGCGCGCGACGAGATGCACTCCAGATTTCGTAAGAAAAGGGAGGGGGGTCTCATTTCGGGGGGGTCTCTTCCAGGCTATCTTGGAGGGCCTGGGAGGTCTGGGGGCGATGTTCTGGACGGTTCTCCCACGGGGGAGGTCTGAAATTGCTTGTCTTGGAGGGTCCAGACCCCCTCCCTTTTATTGCGAAATCTGGAGTATGGGTGCAGCGTATTGGGGCCCGTGGAGTTTGACCGTCGTGCGCAAAGACAGGATCGGCATTCTTCGAAGGGCCCCTGGCAATCAGGCCCCTGGGCTCGGGGGCAAAGGCTTGATGCCAGGTGGAGGCCATGGAGCCTCAGTGTCGGGCGTCACGAACACCATTGTGAGAGCGCTGAGAGCGCTTGCTGCGAGCGTCATGGCTGCTAAATTAGCTAAAGGTGTTGTGAACGCTACTGCTTCACAACAAGCTATGACCCAGTTGTAGATGTAACGGTTCCGCTCGTGTTTAGGCTTTGTTGGGCGTGAGTTGGGCGTGCCTGAAGTTCAAGTCTACACGAGGCGTGGAAGCAGACGTGGGATTCACTTAGAGAGAGCCCGAGTCGGAACACAAAGTTCCCTTACCAGCCTCGAGCATATCCTTATCCCTAAGATTGACACGCCAAAAGGCGATGACAATCTTAGGGATTCGCCCTCAAATAAGGGAATCCCTAAGATTGGCATCGTGATGAGGAGGTGCCCAGCATAGGGATAGGGATATGTTCCAGGCTGGTAATTCCCCAGTGCTCTCTCATGGGAGGGAGGCTCGGGCCTCCAGCGATAGCAGCAGCCAGCGTGATTGGTGGACGGGGGTGGTGGTGACGTTCGGGCACCAGTCGCATGAGTGCGGCAAGCTCTGGGAAGTCCCAGAGGACCTTGATGGAGCCCCCACCATTCCCCCGAACTTGCTCGAGCATAGGAGGCGGCTGAAGGACAATGCTCTTGGGTTTCCTCGCGACTTCGACACACTGGAGTTGGCGCATGGGTCTCCTCTCATCCCCCTTGCATTGAGTCTTGTTCCAGCCACTTTAATGCACTCCGCGTGAGGGGCAGTGAACCCTTCGCGGGTGCACCGATTATATACCAACCGATCCGGCCTGGCTAGCGGGGTCGCCGAGGCGAACCGTAGTGGATTGGCAGTGGTAGAATTCTTTCTTGCGGGTTGCCGAATCCGCCTCCTTTTTGGTCCACTCGCGGGCGGTTGCCAAACGGCACCTTGCGCCGAACGCCAGGCCATCTTGCAAGCTGTGCGAGCAGATCGCCATGGAGTCGAGATAGTGAGTGATCATATGCCGGCGGATCTTGAGGGGCAGAGTTGCCCCCCCCCATTTTTTTTACGAACAAGCCCTCAGACCCATTCGCTCCAGTTCGCTGCTAAGCGCGGTTGCGTGGCGAGTGCATCAACGGCCAGGCGCTGGCACGAGAAGATGCGGCATGCTTAGCTTCCTTGTTTAGAAGTCTCTGGAATGCCTTCACAGACCGGCAGTCAGCCACTCGCTGCGGAAGGTGATAAAAAAAACACGAGCCATGCCGAAAGCCGATCGTTGGAGAATCGCATGATGGCCTGGCTCCGACAACCGATCGTTGGAGAATCGCATGACGGCCTGGCTCAGTGGTGTCTCTCAAAGCTCTGCTGTGGAAGCGCCGGTCTGCGGCGAAACCGTGCCGCTCGAGAGTCCCAGAGGCCAGGAGGAACAAGGAGGAGAGAGCAGGAAGAGCACTGCCGCAAGAAATCTTAAACAGAAGGCCAAGAATAGAAATGTCACGTCTCATTTTCAGGGGAGCCAAGTTGAATTTGCAGAACTCTTCCTCGTCTGTCAGAGACACATGGTCAAGGAATTCAGTCTGGATGTCGTCAGTCATCTTCAGGACCGCGTCTGTGGCGTGGAAGATCGCGCTGGAGCACCTTCGATGACAGAAAGCACGTGGCACTTGTAAAGGCGGACCATGTCCTTGGTGGAGCAGAAGCGGCCTGTCTGGAGAGGCGCTTTCAATCTCCAGGATGCCTCTTTGGACATCTTCTGGGCGGCGTAGAGCATGGAAAGCTTGCGATCGAACTCGACACCCAAAATCTTGAAGTTGTCCCCGTGCGGCCGAACCTTGTCCAAGATGTGTGTGCTCTCTTTCTCTGGCTCGAAAAGCACTTGGTTGGCAGCCCCCCACGTGTGAAGCGAAGTTTGGCATATGTGGCACGCTTGAAGAATATCTGCGTCGCGTGACGCACCGTTAACGAATCCAGCTGGCGGTTCAACGCGTATATTGAGAGACGGTTTCAGGTTCACTCCGGACAAACCCGGTGCTGGTCGACGCCCCCCATGGATTTCTCGGGGGATGTTTGGACAGACTTCTGCGCAAAGTTAGCGGCCAGCAGCTGCCACGTCCAGGAGTCGGCTGCGGCAGCCCCCTTGCGCGCTCAACTTCAGGATGTGCATCGCACGTTCGAGCGCTGCCCATGGCGGCGCTAATGGCGGCCAGCCAGGCCGAAAGCCCTGCCTCCGCTTCTGCTGGAAAGGAGGTAGTTCCTCCGCAATTCGCTTCGTTCTCCCATGATCTCGAGGAAGTGAAGGGCGGGGGGGGCTCGGCGCGCGCGACGCCACTGCTCTGCGACAACTGCTCTCTCGCAGGCCATATACGAGCAGCCTGGCACGAGGTGCCAGCCCTCCATACTGCATGGAGGAGGAGGAGGAGGAGGAGGAGGAGGAGGAGGAGGAGGAGGAGGGGGGCCAAGGAGTGTGGAGGATTTGTCCCCGTGGCGTGCCGCGCGAGGACGTCAACCTGATGGAGTGCCTGCTTGCCGCCGGGGTCGAGCAGAGGGACTGCGGGCCGTCCGACGGGCGAGTCCTCTGTCCTGTTCTCCCCACTGGCCGTCGTCGTTCTCCCCCCTCGCTCCGCGCTCGTCATGTTGCTCCTCCTCCCCCCCCTCCTCCTGCTGCAATTCCTCGTCATCGCTTCCCCTTTCTTACTCGTCCTCTCCCTTTGTCCTCTTCAGTATCCTCCCGTTCCCCCGCCTGCCCCTATTTCTCCTCCTCTTCGCCATCCTGCCCCATCCCTCCTCATTATCCAACGCCTGGTCCTAGTCACGCTTCGTGTAAGCGCCCCAGCCCATCCAGAAACGATGCCCACCTAAGTTGCCATAATCAGGGGGAGCACGCAATGGAATGAAGGCTGGGAAGCCGTCATGCCCTAAGATGGGGGGGAAAGAGGAGAAACCAGAGGAGGAGGATAGAGGAGGACGGGGGTGGAGGAGGGAGAAGGGAGGAGGGGGAGTAGGCGGATAAGGAAGATGGAGAGGAGGAGGGCGAACAGGAATTCCACGGGCCTTTTGGATATCTCTCGGAGTCTCTTCGGATGTCTTTCGAGAGCTTCGTGCACGCCTATTCGGGCGTCTTGGGGGCCTCTTGCCGGACCCAGGGCCCTCTGGAAGCGTCTTGGGTGCCTCGGGGGGGCTTCTTGGGCTCTGCGGGCTCACTTGGGGGCCTCTTGGGAGCATCTTGGGGGCATCTTTGGAGCCTCTTGGGGCCTCCGGGGCGCCTCTGGGGGGCCCTCTTGGACATTCTTGGGAGCCTTAGGCTATCTTGGGGCCATCTTGGAGTAGTTTGATCAAAGAGGGGGAGTCCTTAATTAGCGCCCCCCCCCCAGGAGGCCAACATGGGTCCCAAACCGAATCACAATCAATTACTCCGACGGTGAGACCCCACATGATAATATGTTCAGCTTGGCTGGGGATATCCTCCTGCTCCCTTATCCTGCCCCCATCCTGCATTCTCCTTGTCCTCCTGCCTCATCCTCCTGCCTCCACCTCCTCATACCTCCTCCTGCTCGTTCTGCCTCCTCCTCCTCATCCTCATCCTCATCCTTATCCTCCGGCATCCTCTTTGGGCATCTTGCCTTTTCCTGGGGCATCCTGAGGTTTCCCATTGCCTCCAGGAGCCTCCTGGGGCCTCGTGAAGGTTCCTGGCGCTTCCTGAAGCCTCCTGGGGCTCCCTGTGGACTTCTGAAGCACGTCGGGGCTTCCCGCTTGAAACCTCCGATCGATTCACTCGCAGACGAGGCCCCCCATCGAGATCTCCTCCAGACGCAGGCATGGGGAGCCCAGACGCGACAACACTTACAATACAAGATGAATGACCCGCTCAGATTCGAACGTGGAGGCGGGGACCCCATAGGGAGGGGCCCCCGCTCGAGACTTCCTCGCGGTTCGCTCATAGACGAGGCGCCCCGCTCGAGACTCCCTCCGGATTCGGGCCAGAAGAGCACAAAAGTGACGACAGACACAGGATTCGGGTGACCCGCTCGGATTCGAACATGGAGGTGGATGGAGACGAGAACCCCGCAAGGAGGGGGTCCCGATCGAGACCCCCTCGCGATTCACTCACAGACGAGGCCCCCGCTAGAGACTCCCTCCATATTCAGGCCTGTGGAGACTAAACGAAACGAAAGTTACAGGATTCGGTTACAGGAGTCGTATGACCCGCCCAGATTCGAACCTGGAAGTGGGGACCCATATGGAGGGGATCCCGCTCGAGACATCCTCGCGATTCACTCACGTACGAGACCTCCGCTAGAGACTTCCTCCAGATTCGGGCCTGAGGAGCCCAAAAGTGCGATAGATACAGGATTCGGGTGACCTGCTCGGATTCGAACACGGAGGCAGGGACCCTATAGGGAGGGACCCCCGTTCGAGACTTGATCGCGATTCATTCACAGACGAGGCTTCCCATCGACACTTCCTCTGGATTCAAGCCTGAGTTGGCCAAAAGTGACGACAGTTACAGGATTCGGTTGGCCCGCTAGGGTTCGAACATGGAGGCGAGACCCCATTGGGATGCGCCCCCGCTCGAATTCCCCTCCAGTTTCAGGCCTGAGGAGCTAGAAAAGTAACGACCCGTTTGGATGCGAACATAAACATGGGGACCACATAGGAAATGGGCTCCCGCTCGAGACATCCGATCGTTTTACTCACAGACGAGACCCCACTTGAGGCTTCCTCCAGAGTCAGGCCTGAGGAGCCCAAACGAAACGAACGTTACAGGATTCGGATGACACTCTCGGACTCCAACGTGGAGACGGGGACTTGATAGGAAGAGGCAACCTGTTCGAGACTTGCTCGCGATTCGCTCACAGACGGAGCGCCCCGCTGGAGACTCCCTCCGACTCCCTCCGGATTTGAGCCAGAGGTGCCCTACAGTGACGACAGACACCGGATTCGGGCGACCCGCTCGGATTCGAACGTGCAGGTGGGGACCCCACAGGGAAGGGCTTCCGCTCGAGACCTCCTCGCGACGCACGCACAGACGAAATTCCCGCTCGAGACTTCCCCCGAGAAGCCCATCATGTAACATTGTGACAATTACAGGATTCGGATGGCCCGCTCGGATTCGAACACGGAGGTGGGGACCCCATAACTAGGGAGGGGCCCTCGCTCGAGACATCCGCGCGATGCACCCCCAGACGAGGCTCCAACATGAGATGTCTTCCAGATGTCGGGTTTGAGGAGTCCAGGAGTGACGGCAGAAACACAATATTCGGATGACCCGCTCGGATTCTAACATGGAGGTGGGGGCTCCAATAGGGAGGGGGTCCCGCTCGAGACATCGTCGCGATGCAATCACAGACGAGGCCTCCGCTTGAGAGGTTGTCAAGTTGATTGTGTGAGCGTGTGAGTTTAAGTGCGTGTGAGTGTGAATAGGATGATGATGGTGACCGATGGCCATGGCGGGGGGATGCAGATGATCATGATGATGAGGCTGAATATGATGGTGGTGGTGATGATGATAAAGATGAGGAGCATTATGATTATGAGTAGTATGACGATGACTGTGATGATGATGATGATGATGGTGATGATGATGCCGATGACGATGATGATGATACTTATGACAAGGGTGGTGATGATGAAGCATGGTGTGATGTCGGTGGTGAGTGATGATGATCATGATGGTGATGATGATGAAGTTGATGACGAGGATGAGGGTGAGAATGAGCATGCGGATGATGCTGGTGATGATGACGCTGCTGATGATGGTGATACTGATGATGATGTTGAGTGATGGCGATGAGTGAGTGCGTGTGTGAGAGGGAGAGTATGAGTGAGTGCGGGAGTGCGTATGGAATGATGGTGCTGGTGGTGTTGATGACGGTAATGATCATGATGTGGCGGCCAGCGGGGAAGTGAGGGGTGAGTGAGTGATGATGATGATGATGATGATGATGATGATGATGATGATGATGATGATTATTATGTTGAGTGCGTGAGTGCGTGAGTGTTTGAGTGAGGAAGGGGGGAACACGGGGAACACACATCTTGCCCTGAGAGTTCGCAGAGAATGCAAGGACCCCACTTCGGATGCGGGGAATGACGTCTGCCGTATCGCCGAGGCTACCTTGTACGCTCCAACGCCTCGCGGAACCCCCGTCCAGGTCCAGGGTGGGGGGGTTAGGGGGAGGGGGGAGGGGCGAACCCTTTGCCGAAGGTGAAGAAGGGGGTTGGAGGTTGGAAGAGACGTGCCCTAATCCACTCACGCCCTAAAGGGCTGCGTGGATTCCCCTTCGTCCTTGTCACCAGTATTCCGTACAGCTACCCCTTCATTCCACCTTTTACCCATCGTCGTCAGACGTCCGCGTTTGCTTGTTCCTCGTCTTTCGCTCCCCTCCCACCCCTCCTTCCTCCTGCGTATATTCGTCGTCCCCCTCCCTCCTGTGGCTGTCCTCTTCCTGCTGTGATTGACCTCCAGCTGCTCCTTTCCCGCCTCGGTCTGATCCCTGCTCGTCTCGCCATCCCAGGGAGGGGAGCATCTGGGCCCAACCGCGCCGCACCAAGGGGAGACCAGACATCACCTCCGTGCTCAAGCTGTCGGATAGGTGCCCGTTATGTGTCTGCCAGCAGGAGGAGAAGAAGGAGGAGGAGGAGGATGAGGACGAGGAGAGATGATCCGCTCACCCCGGGGCACTTCTTGCATCCTGTGTCCTTGCCCGCTAGCACGTGCCCTCAGGAGCTCATCCTTGGGGTAAATCGGCGATCTCCAAGCTCGTCGTTGACGGGATGTCTGAGCCTCTGCCGCCCCCGCAAGGAGGAGGTCCGCGCGCTCGCGGAGAAGGACTGCAACCGGGACGGGCACTGGCAGTCCCCCGAGTGGGAGGAGTGCACTGGCCCAGAGGCCACAGCGGGGAGGTGATTGGAAGGGATAAATGCGGAGGAGGAGGAGAAGAGAGGATGGGGGCTAGCTGTGCACCCGGGCGCCATATCTGACATCCTACGCATCCCACCCATCCCTTCAGTTGCGCAGGTGCTTTCTCTTTCGCTGACGGGTGTCCGGTTGTCCTAGCGGACCTGGACCCTCCGAATAAGCCGATCGTGCTATGCGCAATCAGACAGGGGAGCTGTGTGCTTTGTAAAAGGAGGAGGGGGGAGGAGGAGGAGGAGGAGGAGGAGGAGGAGGAGGAGGAGGAGGAAGTGGAGGAGGAGGAAGAAGAAGAGGAGCAGGAGGCTGAGGAAGGAGCAGCAGCACAAGGGGCAGGAGTAGGAGGAGCAGGAGGAGCAGGAGGACCAGTGGGAACTAAGAACAGGGGAAGGGAGTGTGGCGACCACGACAAAGGACGAATCGGATCCAGGAATAATGCCCGCGTTCATACGAATGCGGGGGAGAACAACGATTGTTGAAAGTAGAACTATGCATAAGAGACGGTATGCTAGAGAGGCGACGCCCCGCTCGCACAGAAGCAGTGGGAAGACGGGGGGAGCAGCATCCTCATTGGGTCATTGCGACGGGGAAGTAGGAGCAGGAGGGAGAGCAGGGGCCTCCCCTACCCACCCATCCTTCCTCTCCAATCCCCTCCTCCCCTTCCCCTTCCTTCTGTTTCACCTCGCCCTTCACTATTCTCGAGGCAGCCACCGCTTGTTGGAGGGCATTTCTCCTCGGACTCCGCAAGCGAGGACGCACGTGTCCAGCTTTGCGCCGGTAGCCAGATGTTCGTGGTACCTCTTTCCCGCTGCCTTAGCGACGTGACGGCACACGATCGGTGGAACGCCAGGTTGAGTCCCGAAAGTCCCCTCCCCCGTCCATCCCCCATCCTCCTTCCCGCGTTCTTCTTCTTATTATTATTGTTTTTCTTCTTCGTCTCCTCCTCCTCCTCCGCCTCCTCCTCCTCCTCCTCCTCTCCTCCTCCTCTTCCCTCCTCCTCCTCCTCCTCCTCTCCTTCTGCTCCCCCCTCCTCCTCTTCCTCCTCCCCCCTGCTCCTCCTCCTTCTCCTCATCCTCCTCCTCCTCCTCCTCCTCCCTCCTCCTCCTCCTCCTCCTCCTCCTCCTCCTCCTCTCTCTCCTCCTCTCCTCTTCCTCCTCCTCCTCCGCCTCCTCCTCCTCTTCCTCCTTCTCCTCGACACCATCCTCCTCCTCCTCCTCCTCCCTCCTCCTCCTCCTCCTCCTCCTCCCTCCTCCTCCTCCCCCTCCTCCTCCCCTCCTCCTCCTCCTCCTCCTCCTCCTCCTCCTCCTCCTCTTCCTCCTCCTCCTCCTCCTCCTCCTCCTCCTCCTCCTCCTGAAAGGAATAGCGGATGATTTCGATATGGAGTATGTTTTCCTGGGTTCGAGGCTCAAACTGGCTGCGGTGCGAACAAGGGACTTTCACAAGGGATTCTCACAGCCCCCCTCAGATCTGACTCTCATCAGATACCTTTGGAGGCAGAGCTGGTATCAAAAACAGTACGTTGAATCGTGTACCTCACCGTGTCGTTATATCATGGCACAGATTACGGTCGGGATAATTGTTTGATCCTTGATGCTACAGTTTTCAACACACGCGCGGTTGAGGAAATGTTCAGAAGGTAACCGACGTCGATCAAGATGTCGTTCACCACTGTGTCCTCGCTCCTGAGATCGCTGGGAGACCTCTGCCTCGACTCAATGTTCTTGCTTGGAGATCGGCGCCTGGAGCGCGACCGGGTGCGGTCACGGACATCGCCGGTTGCTGAGTCTGGCCTGCTTTTGCTGTCTGCCACACGGCTGCTCGCCGGAGGTGGCGTCGGAGGCCTTTGGGGCGTTGGTGAACGCTCTCGCCAAGCCTCTGTCTGATTGTACTCAAGATGCTCTGGTCCACTACCACAGTAACGCACCGGGCAAGAATTATCAATATTTGTTGATTTCTCTGCACCGTAACCGTGTAGACCGTGCGCGGTGCTCAGGTGCTGTACCATGCGGTAGGAAAGAGTACCTTCGACTTTTCCCTTGCTGGTTGCGCTGTCAGCCGGTACTTTCGCATAGTACTCCGTGCAATCGCATAGTACTCCGTGCAATCAGGGCATTTCTTAAAGCACCATTTCACACTTGGTGACAACATACTGTCTCAGAAACACAAAAGGTGAATGCTTGAGCCAGCACGTCTACGGAGGAGCAGCATGCATAGATGCCCAACCGTCGCTTTAGCGTGGAAAGCCTCGCTCTGTCAAGGTACTTCGTTCCAACGTCTGAAATATTATCCGCTGTTGTTACCTTTGAGATACTTATGCGCTTGGTTTGCACGAGCTGCTGCACATGTAAAAAAATAATATCGACATGCTTCAATCTTCCTACGCCGAGTCTCGGTGCTATGGCCCTGCCTGCGCTGCTGTCTGATTTCACATTGGCCGAAGTTTCATAACCGAGCTCTCAGATCAACGATTGTGCATGCAATGCCTCTGCGGCGCCGGAGGCTATAGCATATAGCTCGGCTTCGCCGCTGGACTGGGCTATCACGCTCTGTGTGCGGCTGTAATTACATAGAACGCATGGGCCCCACATGACAACTCCAGCAGATGTGATTTTCCTCGTTCGCTGGCACCCAGCCCAATCCGAGTCTACATAAACTGTCACACAATCGGAGAGCGAATCGCACCTAATATGCACATGTTCGTTTCTGGTGCCATTCAAATACCGCAGCAAATGCTCCAGCGTGCGGACATCTCTCTTCGTAGGCGATGCAAGTTGCTTCCCCAATTCTTTCACTGAACTTTGGATGTTTCCTCGTTCCTGACAAATGAACTGTAGCTTGCCTACTGCACACCTGTATTTATGATGTTCGACCTTATCCAAAATCACAAATTCCTCTCCGACAGAGCCCTTGACGTGAGGGGTGTCTTTCACACCGGGTGTGCTCACAGGGGTACAGTGCAACATGTGATAGATGTTCAATGTGTCATCGATGTATTTTTCCGTCAGGAAAACATTGATGCCACCGTCACGTTTCACGTACATCCTTCCGAGGTACTTCGTGTGAACCTCATCGTTAAAACGATCACCACGCTTGAAACAACACATGTTTTTCGAGCTGTCCGAAAAACTCGTCTATCTTAAATTTGTCTCCTACTGCAATGGGATCATCGACGTGTATTGTCACTCGCACACGTGTTTTTCTATTCCAAAACATCTGTGGGTCTGTCAAACAGCGATCAAAACCAAGATGGTCTGTCAACATAGTAGATATAAAGTCTTGGAAGTTTTGCGGTGCTTTTCTCAAGCCATTCATGGCCTTGTTTATCTTCCAGACCCATCCGGGGTACCGAGAACGCCAAGGTTCTGGCGGGCGGCAGAAAACGTTCTCATCTGATACGTCTGCGTGCATAAATTCAACACTGAAGTCCCCGATGCATGCGTCAAGTTTCTCTGCCATTGCAATTGCTAACAAAATGCGAAGTCCAATTGGTGTTGGCGTTGCGGCGAAAACGTCGTCTCTGTTACTTGCGATTTTCAGACCTTTTGCAACAAGCCTCGATCGCACCTCATCTCCTTTAGCCTTGTGCACCCAACCTGTTTCGATCGGTTTACTCAAGGCTTTATCTTCCCGCACCCAAGAGCACACGTTGAAGTGGCCCAGATTGCGCATTTCTTTGGACATGCCTTGTTGGACCAAATATTTCGGGATTCCGTCGATGAACTCGACGCCTTCGCACCAGTGTTTCAAGAGCTCTTCGTTGGTCAGGCAGGTGTCCGTTGAGTGCGGTTCCGGCTCCTCGCAAAGATATTGATCTTCGCCGATGTTCAGAATCGGCCGGATGATCGCCATGATTCTTGATCCTGGGGATTCTGGGTGTTCCTCTTCTGCCTTGCGTTTCCTAGCTGGTTGCCGGTCATCTGGAGACGACCCGTCTTCTTGCATTCGATCGCCGGAGGCATCGTCACGATGCTTGGCTTCGTGAGTTTTCTTGCGGCTCTTGTCAGATGCTGCCTGCTCTGCTGTGTCATCCTGTTCTCGTTTTCGTTTCTCTGCGCATTTCAACTCCCGCTCCTGCCGTCTACGCTTGCATTCAGCAGAATGGGCATTGCCATGTGTTCCCTTGTGGCACGCTTTGCACTTGGGCGTCTTGCCGCACCCTTGCCAAAATAATCTAAGTGTCCTATTGGCTTCGCGCTGCTGCTGTTCAGGCGCGTCTGGCTGGGGAGATGCATGCTGCTGTACCGGGTTGCCTTCAGAGCCCGGCTTGTAATTGAGATCCCAAGGGGCGCCGTAAATCTGATTCACAATTGTCTTGTTGAGCCGGGAAGTTTCCTCCAGTCTGCGTATGTCGCGGGATTGTATCAAGCTTTTGGGGGTAGCTATGATATGTTCGTCATTACCTACAGCTTTTCCCATCCAGACTCCAGTCACCCAGTGCGGCTCCATCTTATTGACGATGGGGCCATTGCACCGTGCGCTGACACACACACACCAAATTCAACAATAAAAGCTTGATATGGATGACCTTTCGTTCTCTCGAACGATGTTTTTCCGTCACTGTGCTTTTGGTGCCGGGTGCACAGCCATCCGCAGTGTCTGATCAACAACGGCGTGAGCAGGCTCGTGCTTTTGAGCACCATGTCGTAGTGGCCCTCAAGAGCCAACTTTTGGGTCCGGACGAGACCCTCAATCGATTGGTGAAAACGCTCAACTGTACCGTTCGACTGTTTGGATGCAACTGGCGTTTGTCTCAAATGAGTTTTCGGAGAACTTCCGTTGACCTGCCTCTTGGTAGCGACCGCGCGGGCCAATTCCTTCACAGACGTTTCGGAATCAGTCTGCAAAATAATTTCTCCGTTCCGACCTGCGCGCCCCAGATGTTTGACAATATATCCCACGGCATGCGTGTCAGAGGACATTTTGGCCTTGACTCGTGCGCACGCACCATAACCGTTTACGACATCAATTGCTGATGCACATGTGATTACTGCTGCGTCGTGCGCCGTTTTCAAGAAGAAATAACCTGTTTGTACAATGGGGATAATGGGCTCTGCTGGGTGTTTGCGCGGAGACTGCTTTGCGCGCCCGTGCACGCAGAACTCACACAAAGCCCTAAAAGGTATGTGCGTAAGATTGTGTTCCAATCGTTCTTTAAGTGTTGGTCCAGTGGGAATTCTGGGAGCCAGCGGTCTGCGTCCTTCCTCTGGCTGCTCCTGCACAGGAACAGGGTGCGACTGAGAAAATGGCTTTCGAAGCGCAGTTATCATCTTGAACGGTTCGTGTAGCATCCACGGTGCTTGCTCGAAACTTTGTGTTTGGTCCCTCAGTCGATCGACGTTCACGCTGTCTTCTACAAGTTTCCAAACACTCCCTTTGAGCATTTGCATCCACGTTGCCCTTACAGGACCCTGCGCATTTACTGGAAATACGAACTCGCTCGGACAAGTTGACACTACATACGTCACTCCATCGATGACATGTTTTCCTTCAGGTAACGTTTGCACGTGTGCTGGAGGTTCGTTGTTTCCAGAGGAACCTGCACTACGACTGTCATTTGTGTTCTGCGCGCCGGTGGAGCCGTTATTTTGTGGATGAGCTTCTCCTGAGAGGCTCATTGGAACGTCGTTCGGTTCAGATCTGTTTTGGGGATCGTTGTCCCCCTCGCGTTGAACGAACACTGTGATTGTCCTGCCGGGCATAATGAAATCTTCTGGCATTTCGAGTTTTGTCCAGTTAGCCCTTTTTTCCAAGAGCACCCATTCGTTCCTTGGCCATTTTACCCACGTGATGCGCAGAGGAAAGTGTGTTGCGATTTTATCGCATGTGAGCTTCTTTGGCAACTGTCCGACGGGAACTCTGTGTTTCTCTGCTTTGGGTGTCACCACATAAGGTTCGCCCTCAGAGGTGGTACTCCAAATTTCCTTGTTCATCTTTGCGGGAATGTTCATTCTCAATTCTCCCGGCGGCTCGTCGAGAGGCCAGAGGGCAGCTGAGTGCAACGACTGGCGCTGGATGATTGGCATGATCTTTACCGGGTCTACAAACTTACACGTTACCCGATACAGGAAATTGTGTTCTTTCACAGACAACGGTTTTGGGATATGTGGCCCTTTCATCACACAAGTGCTGCCATCAAACATGCAAGTGATGTTTTTCTGTTTCGTTAGCCTGCTGATGCTGATGAGTGTGGCACTTGCTTCTTTGAAGACACTGAAACGGATTACAAACACTACCGTCGCGCCGTTGTGGCCGATCAATTGTATAGGTACGTGTTTGTGTCCACTCCGTGTCATCGGATCTCCCGAGGCGGTCACACCTCCTTTGCCAGCAGACTTTACCACGGGGATGCGTTTCGCGAAAGACTCATTGCACACATGATCGAAGGTTCCAGAATCCAAGAGGATCTGGAAGTCTCTCCGTGTGTATGTGCTGGTGGACGCGACGCTGTTCTGTCATTGCGGGACTTCGTCCAAAAACGAGTTTATGTAGTGTTCACCTTTCCCAGAGTCCACCGCGATGCACATCAAAATCGCCTGTGCGATGATCAGCCCGACGATGGCCCAACGGACTTTTGACAAGCTTGTGCATGCATGTGGACACACGTCGCAGATTTCAGACCACATGCTTGCACAAAACGACACCACACACATCATCACAAACATCGTCATCATGTATAGCGTCGTCCCTGGAAAGCTCCCGGCGATTTTGCGATGAATGCTAATGGGACCATCGCCCTCGTCATCCGAATCCGCCATCACAAACCATTCTGGACAGTCGTGGAAATCTTCGCACTGGTCTGCCACAGGTTCCGTTCGAGAGCCTGTCTCCGCAAGAAGTCCAGTGGGATCTGTCTGAGAGCCCACATCCACACAGAAAGCGCGCTCACTGGGCGCGCTGCTCTCGCTGCCAGCGTCGCTCGACGAATCCGCAAAACCATACTCGAAAGCAAGTGCGTTGTCATCCTGTGATTTTGCTCCCGGATCGCTCTCGGCTGGCGCAGCTGACTCACATGGGAAACACTCGTTCGACTCGGTCGACTCGCTGTCGCCTTCGTCCGGAGAGCTGCTCCCAGGAAGCAGAGCCGCGAACTCCTCTGGGGAGTAGTCGTCGTGTTGTTCTGGCTGCTCTTCTCCATCCTGTTTCCAATCGCCCTGCTCGTCCCAAGACCACCCAGGACCCCAAGAGTCCTGGTCCCAGGCCTGTTCGTAGGAATGGCTTCCTTTCCCTGATCGATTGTCCCTTTGCTGTTGAATCTGCATTCTGACGTCCAATGGTCCCTCATCCTGTAAATGTCACACCACTTGTTTGCGTTTTGACTCCAGCCATTTTTGCCTCCACTGCTCGACTGGTCCCTACCTTTGCCTCCAATGTTCGTTTGGTCCCTGCCTTTACCTTTCCGGTCGTTCTGGTACCAGCCCTGGGTCTGAGTGGAGGAACCCTGTCCTCGCCAAGAGGATGATGGGCATCCACGGCCAGACCCCGCTCCTTGGGAATATCCCTTCGGAGTGCCCTTGGTGGTGCCTTTGGGGGATCCTTTCGGAGACCCCCTAGTGTCACCCTTTGGGGATCCTTTCGGAAAACCTTTCGGGGTACCTTTCGGGGAACCCTTCAACGCATCAACTTCCATAGGTTTCGGTCCGTTGTCCTTTCTGGCGCACGGGTTATTCCGTTCACGCTTGATCCCAACGTATTTGTGGATCTCTCGTTTGAGGTCTTCATATGTCCGCACAGATGTGTATTTAAATCGAAATGTGTCTTCATGGGTTCCGGGATCGTTTCCATAACCACGCTGACAATTACATCATTTGCTAGCTCGTCAGGGCTTGCCAAATCGTCGTGCTCTTTCATTAGCAACTCCATCTCTTCCAGGCGCTCAAGAACCTCTGGGAGGGAAGAGCCCGAGAAACTGAAGTCCATGATTGCGTTTAGAACCCCTATTTTCATGTTTTTTGTCTTTGTGCTCATACCTTATGCACATCCTACGCCACATCTCGAGACCGTTCCCTTTCTCTATTTTCCTAAATACTTTCGTCATCTCTCCGTACACAACACTCTTTAGAATATACGCTTTGCTGACTGTTGTTTCACATCGTCTTCTGCGGCTGCTAGTGTGATGGGATTCGAATGTTCTCGTGCTCGTTCCATGTTCTGCAACATTACTTGGCTCACAGCTCCACAATAAGATCCGAAACGATAACATCAATCGCTCCAGTCACTTTTATCTCCGGAGAAATCTTTTAGACCTCGTCCTAACAGTTTCGTGTCAATCACTGCTGCCATTCTTTCTACACTACGTGTCTTCCCAGAGCCCTACTTGGGTTGGGGATGCTACTCTACTACGAGTCTTCCCAGAGCCCTACTTGGGATGGGGATGTTATCTAGGTCCGCGTATTGTTCACCACGGCTCCGCTACCATGAAAGGATAAGCGGATGATTTCGATATGGAGTATGTTATCCTGGGCTCGAGGCTCAAACCGGCTGCGGTGCAAACATGGGACTCTCACAAGGGATTCTCACACCTCCTCCTCCTCCTCCTCCTCCTGCTCCTCCTCCTCCTCCTCCTCCTCCTCCTCCTCCCTCCCCCTCCTCCTCCTCCTCCTCCTCCTCCCCCTCCTCCTCCTCTCTTCCTCCCCCCCTCCTCCTCCTCCTCCTCCTCCTCCTCCTCCTCCTCCTCCTCCTGCACCTCCTACCTCCTCATCCTTCTCCTCCTCCTCTCCTCCTCCTCCTCCTCCTCCTCCTCCTCCTCCTCCTCCTCCTCCTCCTCCTCCTCCTCCTCCTCCTCCTCCTCCTCTTACTCTTCCTCATCCTCCTGTTCCTCCTCCTCCTCCTCCACGGGGAGTCGCGCCAGGGTGTGGAGGGGGGGTCTGGCTTCGGCCAGGCTCATGGGGAGTCCTGCTCTGTCCCCCATTGGGCAAAGGGAGCTGGGGGGAGCAGGCCAGGGCACCCGCCCCGAGACTCGCACCAGGTGCCCCGCCTGGTGGCGAGGGGTGTCCTGTGTCCCTGGCCAGTGCCTGGAGTGCCTGGCGGGTGGCAGGGGGGGCCCCCTCCCCTCTGGGGGGGGGGCCTGTCCTGGAGGCGTTGGACGTGCACGTGCACCTCTGAGTCGTCCCCTCCCCTCCTTGGCCGTTTGCGGTTCGGAGCGGCCGAGGTGCACTAGGTCTCTCCCAACACGCTGCATATGCCCTGGCAGTGTGGGGTTCAATGTTTTTTTTTTGAACTCGCTTCGCGACTGGTCTCATCCTCCTCGACCCTCCGCCTCCTCCTCCTCCTCCGCCTTCTCCTTCTCCTCCTCGTCCTCCTCCTCCTCTTCCTCATCTTCCTCCTCCTCCTCCTCCTCCTCCTCCTACTCCTCCTCCTCCTCCTCCTCCTCTGTCTCCTCATCCCTCCTCCTCCTCCTCCTCTCCTCCTCCTCCTCCTCCTCCTCCTCCTCCTCTCCTCCTCCTCCTCCTCCTCCTCCTCCTCCTCTCCCTCCTTCTCTTCTCCTCCTCCTCCTCCTGCTCCTCCTCCTCCTTCTCCTCCTCCCTCTCCTCGTCCTCCTCCTCCTCATCATCTTCTTCATCATCATCATCATCATCATCATAATCAGAATCATCAATCATCATCATCATCATCATCAGCATCGTCCTCCTGCTCTGTCTCTTCCTCCTCCCATCCATCCTCCTCCTCCTCCTCCTCCTCCTCTTGCTCTTCCTCCTCCCCCTCCTCCTCCTCCTGGAGGGGGGGGGGCGCTGCGACCGGAGGCCGCGTTCCATCCGTTCAAGACCGTGGAGGAGCACACCGCTTGCCTCAACAGGGCGCTCGCGCGGTGAGCCTCCACGCGCGCGCGCCGCGGCCCGAGTGCCGAGCGCCGCGCCTCCGACGGTGCCGCCCGTGCGCAGAGGTGCCTGTGCTTCTTCGCCCTGCTCGTCCTCCTCGTCCTCCTCCTCCTCCTCCTCCTCCTCCTCCTCCTCCTCCTCCTCCTCCCCCCTCCTCCTCCCCTCCCCCCTCCTCCTCCTCCTCCCCTCCTCCCTCCTCCTCCTCCTCCTCCTCCTCCTCCTCCCTCCCTCCTCTCCTCTCCTCCTCCTCCTCCTCCTCCTCCTCCTCCTCCTCCTCCTCCTCCTCCTCTCCTCCTCCTCCTCCTCCTCCTCCTCTTCCTCATCCGCCTTCTCCTTCACCTCTTCCTCCTCCTCCTCCTCCTCCTCCTCCTCCTTTTCCTCCTTCTCCTCCTCCTTTTCCTCCTCGTCCTCCTCCGCCTTCTCCTCCTCCTCCTCTTCCTTCTCCTCCCTCTCCTTCTTCTCCTCCTCCTCTTCCTCCTCCTCGACCCTCGGCGCCCTCGTCCTGCAAGCCAGAACAGCCGCAGGATGCATTCGCCGTGGCTGCTAGGAGCAGCGCGGTGCGCCAGAGGACGAGGAGGAGGAGGAGGAGGAGGGGGAGCAGGAGGACAATGGAGCGGGGAGGGGGGGGGAGGCGGAGAAGTGGACGGGAGAGGCAGTTGGGTGGGCGAGGGGGGAGGAGAATGGGAGGGATAGGGGACGGACAACCAGAGAAAGCATCTTCAAGGCGAGGGTATCCTGAGGCCCGTCTTCCGCGGCCTGCGGAGCCGGTTATCATCGCTCCGCTGTCTTTAGCTGGCGTTTGTTTTCCTTTTGCCCGTGCTTCCCAAGACCTTTGGCGACTCGGCCAAATGGCCCCTGGGCGTTTCATTCATACCTGTGCCGGGTGCGAATCCAGATCGAGCCCCAGCCCCCCAAGCCGCCCCATGTGTCGCGACAGTGTCCAGCTTTGCAGTCGGTGTGTTCCACGGAGTTGCCTGGACACCGATTTGGAGAACGTGTGACTTCATTTGGGCTGCATCGGAAGACGTCAGCATGGCCTTCCAAGGTCCTTGCATCCTTACCGTGCATCCATATTCCACGGGTTGGCTGTGCTGCTGGTCCGCGAAATTAAAGATGCGATTCGACCAGAAAACAGGCGTGAAGATGTTTGGACCCTTCTTGGTGTCTCGGGAGCACTTCCAGTGCCAGGGGCCGTCCAAAGACGAGTAAGCATAGACAATGGCTTCTGGGAGGGCGTCGAGAGGTCTGGGGGCTGGAGATTCGAGCAACGTCGGAGCCCAGGAGACGGGGGTCAATGCAAACGGGGGTCAATCAGAGCGCCGGATTTTGCAGGGTCCTGCAGAGCCAGAGGCGCTCTGACCCAGGCTTGGGCGCAGGATCCTGCAGGAGCTTGCAGGATCATACAGGATCTCGCAAGGCCGACTGACCCTTGCTTGGATGGACCCGGGCCAGCAGATCCCTGACAAAAACACGAGTCGCCAGCAGTCGGGGTCCGACGTCATTTTTCGCGACGACGTGGGCCCCAGGAGCTCCGGACCCCATCCCCAGGGCAGTTTGTTCCGCGCGGGTCGTGCTCTGAGGGCCTTGGGCCCAGCACAACCTCATAAGAGGCCCCCCCGGAGGCCCAGATCGCGAAGAGACGGACGTGGCTCGTGCTCCGTGTCGCGACGCTTGGAGGTCTGGATCTCCGCCGCTCCTGCAAGCAGCTTCTCGCGGCCGCCGCCGTCCCAACCGCGCTAAAGTTCGGCGGCCAGCGAGGGGTGGAAGTGAGAAGGGGCGGGCCTTCTCAGAAGGCTCGGAAGTCCCCCGGGCTTCTGAGGAGTGTCCGGAGCCTTCCCCGAAGACATAAAAACAGTTCTCACAGGGCGAGAGGGCTTCTGAGACACGTAGTACTATTATGAGTCGTAGCACTATTTGTACTATCAATAATTTTATTCATATTAGCATTATCGCCATTTGTAGGATTGGTATTATTGGTATGCTTAGTAGTCGTAGTAGTACTCATATTATTAGAAATATTACTAGCATTGGTCCCGCCGCCTTCTGAGGTGGCCTTCTCCCTCGCCCGTCCCCCCTCGCCCGCCGCCGAAAGAGTGGCCCTCGGCCGTGGCGGCCCGTGGCCCCCTGCACGTTAATGCCCCCCAGCTCGGGGGGCGGCCAAGAGAGGGGTGAGGACCAGGGTTAAGTCGGGCGTGTCCCCCTACAGGGGGATTTTCAACGAAAAACAAAAACTACCCCAAACATAGTCAAAAGATAGTCCAGACATAGTCTGGGGACTATGTTTTGAGTATTTGATGGCCTTTGTGGGGTATGTTGGGGGCATTTTTAATTTGTCGTCGAGAATCCCCCTGTAGGGGGACACGCCCGACATAAGACTAGGGGGGGGGGGAGCTCGTGGCGTGGGCCATGATGTCTCCCCAGAGTTCGTGGCGCCCCTTCTTGTTTCGTTGCGTCCCTGGCCCCCCCCCCTGGGGCCCCGCACGTGCCGCCGGCCAGGACTGGCGCCCCCCCCCCCCTCTCTTGGCCGCCCCCCCTTCCTGGCCGCCCCCGACCCGGCGACGGCCCGCGCGCCAGAGAAAGTGCGCTGCCGCAGAGGGGCCCCTCCCGGCGGGGCAGCGCGGGGAAGCGAAGGGGAAGCGGAGGGGGCCGCGTGGGGGGAGGGCTGAGCAGGCGGAGCTCAGGAGCGCGAGCGCGCAGCACGGGGTCCTGGAGAGAGAGAGAGAGAGAAAGAGAGAGAGAGAGAGAGAAACAAAAAAAAAAAAAAAAAAAACGGGGAGGTCGGAGCGGGGGGGGAGGAGAAGAGGGAGAGGGAGGAGAGGGAGGAGGGAGGAGGAGGAGGAGGAGGAGAGGAAGAGAAGGGGAGAAAGGGGGGAGGAGGGAGGGGGGGAAGGGGGAGGAGGAAGGGGGAGAAAAGGGGAGAGAGGAGCAGGGAGAGGGAGGAGGCGAAGGAGGAAAGCGAGGGAACGTCCGAGGAGGAGGAGGAGGAGGAGGATCGAGGACGGAGGAGGGCAGCCAAAGGACGGAGAGACGGACCATGGAGGGAGGGAGGAGAAGGGGCTAAGAGGGAAGAAGATGATGATGGTGCTGATGATGATGAGGAGGAGGAGGAGAAGGTGTAGGAGGAGGAGGAGGAGGTATTGGAGGGGGAGGAGGAAGAGGAGGAGGAGGGGGAGGAGGAGGGGGAGGAGGAGGAGGAGGAGGAGGAGGAGGAGGAGGCAGCAGGGGAATGGGGGGAGGAAGAGGTGAAGGAGAGGAGGGAAGCACCGCTCAGGTAGCGGAGCGACGCAAGGCGCATCGAGGGCGATGCCTTGACTGCAGAAGCGTCTCTCTTCTCTAAACATGTGCTCTCTTCTGTGCTCACCCCCCTCCTTTTACGATGCACCGCGCCAAGGCGGAAGACCCACGCCCCTGTTTGCTCGGATGCCGCGGCTGCCCGGATGCGTTTCCTCATTACCCCATTTGTTCCCGTGCCCCTCGGGTGATGGCCCTCGACCACGCCTTTCTCCCTCCGACCCCGTCGTCCGCATCGGGCTCGTGCTGCTGCACGAGTGCAGTGCCCATTTAGTTCGAGCGCGAGCACGCCCACACAATCACGGCGTCGAGCGTCCACAGCTACGACGCCATTCGGCACGCATCAGCCCCTCCGCAGGGTGACGCGGCATGTGGCAACTTACGCAGGGCAAGTCAATCTACCATCAGCATGCAGGCGAGCTCGGCACTGGGTGCGCTTCATGCTGCGCCTCATCGTCATTATCCGCCCCGTCGCCAATATCAGCATGTCTCATCGCCCTCTCCCCTCATCCCGCTTTGCCCTCTCTGTCCCCGTCATCCTTCCCCACTCGTGGTTGTGTCTCACTCTGTTTTTTTTTCTGCACTTTTTGTTGTTCTCTCTCTCTCTCTCTCTCTCTCTCTCTGCTTCTAACGTTCTAATCATCCTGCTCGCTCACTCTCTCTTTCTCTCTCTGTCTCTCCGTCCTCCCGCTTTATCCTACCTCCTCCTCCCCCTCGGCCTCGTCCTCTCTCTCTCCAAGCCCCTCCCGAGCCAGCACGGCTACTGTCCTATCCCGGCCCAAGCCACCCGCGTGGCGCGACGCGCGCGCGCGGCCACCATGGTGTCCATTCACGCCCCCGTATCTCGCCTTGCCCTTCTCGGTCCTCGGGGACGCTTCACAGCGCCAACGGCCCCAGCCCCCCCCCTCCCTCTTCTTCTCCTCCTCTGCCTCCTCCTCCTCCTCCTCATCCTCCTATTCCTCCTCCTCCTCCTCCTCCTCCTCCTCCTGCTCCTCTTGCCCCCCCTCGCTGACTCTTCCGGCCGCGCCCGTGCTCAACGCCTCCGCGCCCCTGGTCGAGCACACGCCCCCCGGCCCTGGCTCTGCCTGCCTGCCTGCCTCTCTGGCCCTCCTCGCTGCGTGTTCCGGCGGGCACGGCCCCCGCCGCCGCGCTTGCCCGAAACCCGCCCCATGGCCCCCTCGCAAGGTGGGAGGAGGAGGAGGAGGAGGCGGAGGAGGAGGAAGAGGAGGAGGAGGAGGCGGAGGAGGAGGAGGAGGGAGAGGGGGGGGGGGCCGGCCAAGAGGGGGGTGATGATTAGGGGGGGTGGATATCATGGCGGGGGCCGTGATATCTCGCCAGATTTCATGGCGTCGCGTCTTATTTCAATGCGTCCCCGGTCCCCCCCCCCCCTGGGCCGCGCACATGCCGCCGGCCATTGCTTGCGCCCCCCTCTCGTGGCCGCCGCCTCTTGGCCGCCCCCGCGGGAGGGGGGTGAGTCGGGAGGGCGGCCGGGCGTGGACCCCGTCGGGGGCCGTGGGGAGGGCCTTCCAGGCGCCTGGTTCTGCGGAGCAGGCGCGCTGACGCTGTCGCCTGGGGGCTCGAAGTCGGATGTGAACGCCACCGAGACCACCACGCTGCTCTTCGTCGCCGGTCTGGAGGGCACGGGCCACAATTTCTTCGACCGCGCCCTCAACGAGATGCAGGCCGTGCGGTTCTCCTTCCTGGACAACTGGAACGCGTACGGCATGATCAGGTCGGAGCGGCTCCCTCCAATTCCTCCTCCTCCTCTTCCTCCTTCTCCTCCTCTTCCTCCTCATACTCCTTCTTCTCCTCCTCCTTCTTCTCTTCTTCCTCCTTCTCCTCCTCCTCGTCTTCCTCCTCATCAAAGTCCTCCTTCTACTCCTCCTGCTCCTCCTTCTCCTCCTCCTCCTCCTCCTCCTCCTCCTCCTCCTCCTCCTCCTCCGTCTGCTCTCCTCCTCTCCCCTCCTCCTCCTCCTCTCTCCTCCTCCTCCTCTCCTCCTCCCTCCTCCTCCCTCCTCCTCCTCCTCTCCTCCCCTCCTCCTCTCCTCCTCTCCCCTCCTCTCCTCCCCTCCTCTCTCCTCCTCCCCTTCCTCCTCTCTCCTCTCCTCTCTCCTCCTCTCCTCCTTCCTCCTCCTCCTCCTCTCCTCCTCTCCTCTCTCCTCCTCCTCCTCCTCCCCTCCTCCTCCTCCTCTCCTCCTCATCCTCCTCCTCCTCCCTTCTCCTCCTCCTCCTCCTCTCCTCCCTCCCTCTCCTCCTCCTCCCCTCCTCAGCAGCCTCAGCGGTTCCCCATCGCCCATCTACGAAGGGGCCCAAATAGCCCACCCTGCCTAGGACCGTGCGGTGTCGCTGTCGGGGGCTGTCCGCGGGTCTATCGGCGATGTACCGCGATTCCAGGAGGAGGAGGGAGAAGGAGGAGGAGGAGGAGGAGGAAGAGGAGGAGGAGGAGGAGGAGAAGGAGGGGAGGAGGAGGAGGGGGAGGAGAGGAGGAGGAGGAGGAGGAGGAGGAGGGGAGGAGGAGGAGGAGGAGGAGGAGGGAGGAGGAGGAGGGAGGAGGAGGAGGGAGGAGGAGGAGGAGGAGGAGGAGGAGGAGGAGGAGGAGGATGCTCCCCTTGACTTGTCGTAGCGCTCGAGGCTGACTTGTCGCCCTCGTCCATCTCCAGCGCACAGAGCTACGCATATGCGCAGATCTTGGCCAGGCCCATCCGGGCCCAGGCTTGGTGCAGATGCGTGCGTGGCCGCGCCGGGGAGGGCGCAGGCACCGACCTCGGCCCCTTTTCTGGGCCTGGCCTGGGTTCTGGTGTATGTGCATCGTGTTGCAGGTGGTGCCACTTCCTCCTCCATGCCATGTTTGTCCTCTTGTTTCTGCTCTCTCCAGGAGGGCAAAACGCACACAGACAGAACTAGTCGCCGACTCCCAGGAACATATGGGAAACTATGGGAAGTGGGGGGAAGACGAAAACGCAGAACAGATGGTAACATATCGGAAATCCGGGGATTTGTGTGCCTTTGTTTGGGTGTGTTCCAGGGCCCCTTTCTCTTCGTACTCCCCTTCGCCCTCGCTATGGCCGTGACCGTGCTCGTCGTCCCCCCCCCCAGTTCGACAGCGGGCTCGGGTAGGCTCCCGCGCGTCGTGGGAAAGAGGGGGAGGGCGGGTGGGGTGGGCCTCCGGGGGCGAAGGGGAGCTAAGAGCAGGGCAAGGAGAAGGGAGAGCACGGGGAGGCGGAGGAGGAGGATGGAGAAGGAGAGCCAGCTCGCTGGGCCGGAGAGATGCCGTTCCTCCAGGGTGGCCCTGCGAGTCTTGCGTGGGCGCACAGACAACCGCGAGACGCGGGGCGCGATGCGCGAAGCTGGGTCACCCTTCGGCCGGGACGTCAGGACGTCAGATAGGAAAGTGGCCTGCCAACAGGTGCCCCGTGGAAGCTTCCTGTTGCCCTGGGGGCCAACAGAAGCCCCGGGGCCCCTGAGGACCCTCAAGGAGCGACGAAGACCGCCTCCCAGGATGTCGTAGTGTTGGCTGCAGGAGGCGGAGGGATCGGATAAGCAGGATGAGGAGAGGCGGCCAGGACCAACAAGTCCTGGTCCGAGGACAACCTCGAGGAGAACGCGAAGCACCTCGCCGACAGGGTCTCGATGTACCCTGGCGAATGGGCAGTCTCAAGATCGGTTGTCTTGTCGGGCCGGGCGAAAGGGGGGGATTGGGAAAGGGGGGGTTACGAAATTTGCTGCATGCAGCTGGTTTCGGCCTCACCGAGGGGCCCATTCCTCGATACATGGCGCCTCCGGCGCCGGGAGGCGCCGGGAAAATCAGCTACGCGAGCTGATTCTCAAACCCCCCCTTTGCTATCCCCCCCTTTCGCCCGACCCGATCTTGTGGCTCTATTGGGCACTCTCCCAGGTATGCCGGAAGTTATCATGGACAGTCTTGGGATAGACTGAACCATTTTGGAGGCCAGTTTTGCGCAACGGGAGCCACACGGGGCCAGCTTGAACCCAAAAGGGCCGTCTGACACATGGCCCGTCCCCCCCCTCCAGACCCATGTGAGGGTCATGGGGAGGGGAAAATACCTCTCCGACCGACCACGGAAGACGGCGCGTTGAAAGAGGGCAGAGCGGACATGGAATACCACCTCTGTCTGCCGAGAGAGCTGCTGGTATTCGAAGCGAATCTGCCCGTGGCGACGAGCCCGTCCCCCCCCGCCTCGCGTCCCCCCCCCCTCACCGCAACATCCTCCTTGCATTCCTGCTCCTCATCCTCCCAACCCTCTCTCCGCCCTCCTCCCCTCCCGTCCCTCCCTCCCCTCCTCCCTCCCCTCCCTCCCCCGATCCTCCCACCCCTCCCCTCCTTCCCTCCCTCCTCCCTCCCCTCCCTCCTCTCCTCCCTCGTCCTCCCTGTCCATCCCCTCCTCCCCTCCCTCCCCCCCTCTCCAAGGGCCTGTCGGCAGACGGCCCTGTCCCCGCCAGCTCCCCGGGGCGAGTCGGGCAGAAAATCGCGGACCGCCTCAGGCCAGGTGATGTACGTGGCGGCCACACTGAGCAGCTCGTGGCCCAGCGGCCAAGGCTTGGAACGAGGAGGAGGAGGAGGAGGAAGAAGAAGAAGAAGAGGAAGAAGGAAGAATAAGAAAAAGAAGAAGAGGAAGGGGGCGGTGCATAGGCAAGAGCGAGCGGCGGGGAGGTGGACGAGAAGAGGGTGGGAGGGATGGGAGGAAGGTGGGGATGATGAGGGCGAGGAGGATGCGAAGACGGAGTCGGGAGGGGGAGAAGGATGACTGCGCATGGTGGGGGGAGAAGGGCTTATGGTGACGAATGGGTTTTCTGATTATTGTGAGGAGGGGCATGACGAGCTATCAAGAGTAGCAGGAAGATCATGGCTTTGTAAGTTAAGAGATGGACGAGGAGGTTGAGGATGCGATGAGAATGACGAGGATTAGGAGGATACGAAGAGATCGAAGATCAGGAGGAGGAAAAGAGAAGGAGGGGAAGCAAAGACAAGGAGGATCAGAACGAATAGCGAGGAGGAGGAGGAGGAGGAGGAGCAAGGAGAGGAGCTGTGTTCTGCAGAAGGGAAGGAGGAGGGCTAGGAGGAGGAGGAGGAGGAGGAGGAGGAGGAGGAGGAGGAGGGCGACGAGGCGGAGACGGAGTAGCAGCGACAGGGGGTCCCGAAGGCAGTTCGTACGAGCGCCGGAACAACAGGCAGCCGAGCATCTCTCTGCTCCGGCGGGCCGCAGCTCGCGCAGGACTGCGCTTCGCCGCCTCGCGCAGCAGCAGGGCCGCGGGTTGTTGCGCCGTTCTTGTCGTCGTCATGGACGGGGAGAAAGAGGAGAGGAGGAGGAGGAGGAGGAGGAGGAGGAGGAGGAGGAGGAGGAGGAGAAGGATCGAGGAGGAGGAGGAGGAGGATCGAGGAGGAGGATGATGAGAAGGAAGAGGATCGAGGAGGGTTACTCCCTGTTCGACATCGTCAGAAGTTTGGAGGATGAGGGACGACGTAGGGAGTTGAAGAAGAACATCGTATGAAAGCATAAGCTCCTCAGGCGCCGCCCCCTGTCGCGTTCCACGCGCCAGGCTGGAGGTTCCAGGACGCACCCAGGAAACCCGCGCGGAGTTCCGAAAGCTCATGTTCATGCCGCTGTTTGTTCCTCTCGGGAGGGAGGGTTGAGGCGGGACGGAGGAATTCCTCCTCGTCCCTCGTACCCTCCTTCCTTTCCTCCGCCTCCTCGTCGTTCTTGTATTTCTCATCCCCCTCCACCCTCCCCAGTCCTTGCCCCTTGGCCCTTCACATCCATACTATGGCCTGAAGGTTAGTGTTCAGGTTTGTGTGACCACACCCAGGGCGTGCATTTTCTCCTGGCCGCGTTTTCCCGCAAGTTTGCAGCATTGTGAGCACGCATTGATTGCCATGCCACCGTGGAACCACCACTTCCTCCAGTTCATCCTTAGCCTCCTCCTCGAGACTCGGCCCCTCCCTCCCGAGGCTCATCCCCTCCTCCCTCCTGCCAAAGGTTCGGCTCATCCCCAGGCCGGGCGCTCGGGCGATGTTGCCCGGAGGCCGTCCACGAGGCTCCGGCCGATGGGGCGCCCTTCGAGACCCCGTCCCCGCGGGACACGAAGTCAAGCTCTGAGCCAGCAGCCAGCCTTTTCTCCTCCCCCTGTTTTTCTGCTTGTTCTTTCTCTCTCTCTCTCTCTCTCTCTCTCTCTCTCTCTTTGTATATCTATATATATACACACACATGCATCCATGCATCTGTCTGTCCCTCGCACGTTCTATGCCACGCAAGGCGGGCAGCGTCTATCCTGCGTGATCGTGCTCTGTTTCTGGGCAAGTTTCTCCGCCGCCGCCGCGGGCTGAGGCGAGTGCGCAAGCAGGGCCCAAACTGAGTCGTCGTTGTCGTCGTCACTGTGCTCTTACCCTTCTCTTTGCGTATCCCCCGCATCGTCTTCCTTCTCTTTGCTCCGGTCCACCCCCCCAAAAAAACTGCCCCCTTAATCATTGTCTCCCTCTCTCTCTCTCTCTCTCTTTCTCTCTCCGCTCACCATCATACAATGTGTCGCTATTATTGTCCACCTCATCCTTATCCCAAGTTCTTCATTCTCTCTCCATACTTATGCTAAAATCCCACTCCCCGCAAGTATTCACATTTGCTCTTCCATCCTGTATCATGTTGTGCAGCTCATCGTACCACCTCCCTCCGATAAGTGTTTTCGTTTCTGTCCTTATCCTCCGTCCTCCACCGTCCTTCTTGCCCCCTTTCACCCCCACTAAAGCGCACGCGCATATTACCCCATCCTCCTCTTCCCTCAGCTCCTGTTCTTTCTCCTCCTCCTCCTCCTGCTCATCCATCCTCCTTCTCACGATCAGCCGCCTGTATATACGAATATTGGTTTACACCTGATTGCATATCAGAAGCGGCGTTGTTCCTGGTTGAGGTTGGGAAGCTAGACATGAGTGCAACTTGCTGTGCACTGCCCCTGAGACGATTATGGCAACATGCAGTGAACCTCCTGCTTCACCCCCCTTCCAATCCCAAAATAATCCCTCCCGTTTCGCGTCCCCTTCTTCTCCTTATGCGATTTGTGTCTTGACCTCCTCCCCTGAGTATACCCATCCTCGTCTCCCTCATCGGTCTCTTCATGGTCACCTCATTTCCCCGCTGACGCCGGTGCAGGAGAAATCGCTGGACGCAGCATCAACGTGCAGATCCTCGTGACGCAGCGGTCTCCAGAGGAGACCATCGTGGCCTCGCGCTCAGGAGGAGGAGGAGGAGGAGGAGGAGGGACGAGGGGGCTGACCCCCCCTTTCATTCGCCATGCTTCCTCTCCCCCTTCATCCGCTCCCTCCTCATTTGCCCCCTTCCCATTCGCTTCCCCACCCGACAGGGTTGGGGTGTCAGTTGTCAAGGACGAGCTCCTCGATGTACGCCATCGTCACACGGATGGTGCCGCTTTCGGTGGAGCTCCTCATGGGACCACGAATCGTGTGAGGGGTGTGCCGAAATGGGGCGGCGGTGCCATGCGGATCTTGTCACTGGGGCCTTCGGTGGAGCTCCCCATGGGGCCACGAGCCGTGTGATGTGTGTTCCGAGATGGTGCGGCGGTGCCATGCGGACCTTGTCACTGGAGTCTTCGGTGGAGCTCCCTATGGGGCCACGAACCGTGTGAGGGGGATGCCGAAATGGGGCCGCGATGCCATGCGGACCCCGCCACTGTGGCTTTCGGTGGAGCTCCTTATGGGGCCACGAACCGTGTGAGGAGTGTGCCGAAATGGGGCGGCGGTGTCATGCGGACCCTGTCACTGGAGACTTCGGTGGAGCCCCCTATGGGGCCACGAACCGTGTGAGGGGTGTGCCGAAATGGGGCGGCGGTGCCATGCGGACCCTGCCACTGGAGCCTTCGGTGGAGCTCCTTATGGGGCCACGAACCGTGTGAGGGGTGTGCCAGAATTCGGCGGCGGTGCCATGCGGACCTTGTCACTGAAGTCTTCAGTGGAGCTCCTTATGGGGCCACGAACCGTGTGAGGAGTGTGCCGAAATGGGGCGGCGGTGCCATGCGGACCCTGTCACTGGAGCCTTCGGTGGAGCCCCCTATGGGGCCACGAACCGTGTGAGGGGTGTGCCGAAATGGGGCGGCGGTGCCATGCGGACCTTGCCACTGGGGCATTCGGTGGAGCTCCCTATGGGGCCGCGATCCGTGTGAGGGGTGTGCCGAAATGGGTGCCATGCCATGCGGACCTTGTCACTGGGGCCTTCGGTGGAGCTCCTTACGAGGGGTGTGCCGAAATGAGGCGACGGGGCTGGGCCGACTCAACCGTCGCGACATAATTCTTGGCATCCGCAGCGTCGCACCTCATAGGCCAGGGCTGAGCGTATCACCCACTTCCTGATTCGGTGCACTTCGTCGTCCCCCTCTGGGTGGGGCACGTCCCAGGGTCATATTACCATCTCGGGCCCACCTCCGGTTGGCTAAAATACATTCGCGGGTATCGCGAGTGCGTTAAAGGGAGCCGACTTAGGGCCCCCCAGGAGTGCCGGCATGGCGAGTGGGAATTGAAGGCATATCTAACAGACTCCGCCTATTGGCCCACAATGGCCAATCTTCCCACCGGCTCGTGTCGCACCTCCGGGGCCAATTGGGTCGGCGGTTTGAGCCCAGATTGCCCCAGACGGACACATTGTCCGGTTGCCTGTGGAACAGGCGTGTGGGCTCTTGGCCGGCCCCGCGGCGGAGCTGGCTGACATGCTTTGCGCCGAGCAGGCTGCGGATGCCCGCGGCCGCGCGCAGGCTTGGCGGGATCGGGTTGCGAAGGCGAAGAGCAAGTCTGAGTTGGCTGGGCCCACCGTTGGTCCAAGTGTCAGCCTTCCAGAGAGGCCTACGGCCACCGCCCGCGGCCCTCCACCCAGCCTTCCTCCCCGCGGCCCCCGGCGGCCGCGGGTCACGTCAGGACAAGACTTGGGCTAGCATTGTCCCTTGCCGCACCCGGGGGCTGGGGGGGGAGGGGCAATCCCTCAAAGGCCCGTTGATGGGTATTTTGTTCGGGCCCATTCCCACGTGTTTGATTATATGTAAAGCCCGTGGGCAGTACTCGGAGTGTACACGGGCCGTCAACCTAGAGAAGAGGTGCAGACCCACCAAGGCTTCCAGTCGTGCAGTAACAAATTTCACTAGGGCTTGCAAGGGGCAGTCCCCGAACCACCGGCGCGGCAACGGAATTATCCTCGGCGATTTGTTGCCCGTCAGCGCCTTGCTTCAGCTGCGTCAGGATATGGATTCTCTGGCGAGTCAGGCCCCCTCTCCTGCCTCCTCCTCTGCACAGCCTCCGATCGGGGTACCGCTCCCCGACGGAGTTGGATAGGGCAGAGGCAAGATTCCGGTAGTGTTTCACCGTGCAGTTCAGCTTCGTCCGTTGTGCTACCCTCTCTCCGACCTTCTGTAGCGGGATACGGTCAACGCAGTTCTCTTCTCCCCCCTTTCTTCAACGTCGCCGCCAGTCCGACCAACTCCCTACCCAAGGGACAGTCCTCCGCCGCGATCCTGCGGGCACCCTTAGGGGTGATTACCTGTGCAGCCTCCGTTTGAGGGGGCAGGGCGGCCTCCCGCTGGTGAGGCAGGGGAAGGTTAGCCTAACAGCAGCCACTCTCGCCATTTTTCCCACCGATCCTTTGCCTTTCGGCGAGCCTCTCATTGTAGAAGAAACAAGGAACACACTATATATATGTATATATGTGTATATATATATATATATATATATATATATATGTGTGCGGCCTTTCTGGGTACGCGGGGCTGCAGTAACCTGGGCCTGCCAGGCACCGTTAGGAGAATCCCCAGCCGAGGGCTGACATAGGAGCACGGGCTAGGGTTAACCAGCGCGATCTCGGCACAGGTTAGGAGCAAGTCGACAGAAGGTGATCGCACTGGCGACAAGGTGCAGGCCATCGGGAGGGTTGATGTGTCCGACCCCCTTTTACCACGCCTCCTTCCAGCCCGCTGCTCTCTGCCGTGATTCATGCCCCTCCTTCCGGCCCTCCTGCTCCCCCCTTCCCCCCGGCTTTCTCCTTCCTCCTTGGTTCCCGCTGTGTCCATCTCCCCTGCCCCTTGGTTCCCGAAGTATGTGTTTCCCTTAACTAGTGGTTCCCGTCCTGTGGTTCATTGTCCGCGGCGGTGGACCCCCATTGTCCGCGATCGGCCGGCTATCTCCGCGCGCCGCTCGTTCTGCAAATGCTGCCAGTACTCTTGCCCCTTGCACACGAAATCACGAAATGCACGTTTTCGCGTGTGTGTTTCTACAGATATCGAGGGTTTGCGCACTTCTGTTGGCCCTTTAGGATGTGCCTGTGCATGCGCATGTGCCTGACATTGTCAGCTGCTCTTGCCCTGCGTTCCTGCGTTGGCGGCCCGGCATTGTCTGGCGCGCTCCTGGGCATTGTCCGACGTGTCGCCCGCGATGCACGAGTTTCGGTGTCAGTTCAGCTAGTCGGCGCTGCTTTCGATGCTCACGTTTAAACCCAGATGTTGATACTCCAGATTTCGTAATAAAAGGGAGGGGGTCTGGACCCTCCAAGACAAGCCATTTCAGACCTCCCCCGTGGGAGAACCCTCCAAAACATCGTCCCCAGACCCCCCAGGCCCTCCAAGATAGCCTGGAAGGGACCCCCCCCCGAAATGAGACCCCCTCCCTTTATTCCGAAATCTGGAGTAATCGTTCAGGCCATTCATGGAATTGTTCTACCCAGGCGCGGACCAATGGCTCTTGACAAAAAACAAGCTACCGTACCACATCCTCGGGATGAAGCACGGGATTTCCCTACGGTCGGGGGGGGGGGGTCGCACGATTTTTGTTGCATCGGGATACCTGTGTGGCATTGCCTGTGTGTCGCACGATTTCTGTTGGATCGGGATCGGGATACCTGTTGGATCGGGCTATCCGTCAACCAGCGTCAGGCCCGAGGCAGGGACCGCCGCCGCAGCCGCGTGGCCTCCTCCGCCTCCCGGTCCCTCCCCGCCCCCAGCAGGCATTGCCTGCTCAGCCCTTGAGTCGTGTACCGGCCAGGGGTCGCTCTCGTTAGGAAGTGAGTGCAACAGGCTGCGAGCTGGGCTTTCCCCCGGCGAGGGATGTGCCCCCTTGGCAATCCCTCCTCGCGGCCAGGGACTGCCAAAGGCGGCCCGCTCGCAGACCTGGCAGCTTGGTCAGGGAACCTCCTCCTCCTCCTCCTCCTCCTCCTCCTCCTCCTTCTCCTCCTCCTCCCTCCCCTCCTCCTCCTCCCCCTCCTCCTCCTCCTCCTCCTCCTCCTCCTCCTCCTCCTCCTCCTCCTCCTCCCCCTCCTCCCCCTCCTCCTCCCCCCTCCTCTGCCCCGCCTCTCGGAGGTGGGCGGGTTGAGACCGCGGGGCCGTCGGCTGGCCGGCGGAGGCAGAGCACCTCGCCGCCACGGCGAAGAGCGGCTCGCAGAGTCTGCTGCGGCTGCTCCCCGGGAGGGGCCCGCGGGCCAGCGCCGAGCTGCCCAGGGCCTCGTGGCCACGGCGAAGAGCAGCTCCAGAGTTTGGTGCGGCTGCTCCCCGGGAGGGGCCCGCGGGCCGCTGCCGAGCTGCCCAGGGCCTCCAGCCGGCCCTGCTCCGGGCCTCTCGAGCCCACCGCTCCCCCCACGAGTCTGGGAGAGAGTCCCGGAAACGGTGCGGCGGCGGACCGCGCGGTGGCCTCGGGACACCAAGAGACCTCACCGCACAGAGGGGAGGGAAGGGAGAAGGGCAGAGGAGGGGGGGAAGTGGGAGGAGGAGAAGGAGAAGAAGGGAGGCAGGGAAGTGGAGGAGGAGAAGGAGGAGTGGGGCAGGGAGAAAGAAGGAAGGGCAGAGGAGGAGGAGGGGAAGTGGGAGGAGGAGGAGAAGGAGAAGAAGAAGGCAAGGAGGAGGAGGAGGAGGAGGAGCAACACGAGAAGACGTCTCGATACCGTAGGTCCGTCACCGCACGGTCTTGGGACCCCGGAGGCCCCTGTCGCCCGAGGCATCCTCGGAGGACGACCCGAGTCCCAAAACCAAGCGGCGACCCCGAATCCGCCACCGACTCACCGCACGCCGTGGTCAAGCTGCGGCGCCGCGCAGGCAGAGTCGAGCTGCGGGCAGGAGCGGCTGCTCCGCCTGTCGCGCCGCCGTTCCTCTCTCCCCCGGGTTCCCATCCTCCCCCTGGTCATGTTTCCAGTATTTCTCCTTTCCCCCTCTTCTGCTTGTCACAGCTGGTTTCCTGATCATTTACCATATTGCCCCCCCGTCCTCTGCCCCCCTCCCTCTCCCTCCTCCTCATGTTTCCTCCAACCCGGATCACCCGCTCCGCCGCTTTGTCCCATCCGCCTCCTCCATTCGCAACATTTCGCCCCTGCTCATCGGCACCTCCCTCCCAAAACCTCGGGGGAGGGCAGGTTCGTTCAGCCGCTAAAAGGTGGCTGCTGCGACCAGACCGCTACGCGCATATTGCCGCCCAGTAGGACACCGTCTCCGGGGTTGCCTGCCCGGGTTGGCCCCCATCTAGCATGCCCCACCGCAGGCTGCGAGCTGGGGGGTCCCCAAGCAAAGGGCGTCCTCCATTAGCAATTCCTCGGTCTCTCGGTATTTCCTGTTCCACCGAGTAACTGTTAATGGCGGCCCGCTCGCAGACTTGGAAGCAAGGTCAGTGATATTCCTGTCACCCTTCTCCTCCTCCTCCTCCTCCTCCTCCTCCTCCTCCTTCTACTCCTCCTGCTCCTCCTCCTTCTTATCCTCGCCCTCCTCTTTCCTCATCATCATCATCATCATCATCATCATCATCATCATCATCATCATCATCATCATCGTCATCGTCATCGTCATCATCATCATCATCATCATCATCATCATCATCATCATCCTCATCATCATCCTCGTCTTCCTCCTCCTCCTCCTTATCCTCCTCCTCCTCCTCCACCTCCTCCTCTTCCTCCTCCTTCTCCTCCTCCAATGCACGCAGCTCCCCTTTTCCGAGTGGGTCTTCTTTTGAGTTCCACGTCGGCTATGACATGCGTCCGCGGATTGAGAAGCCAGCGCAATGGGAAGGGGAGGGAGGGAGGGATAGGATGACAAATACGGTGCGAGCGCGCCTAGCTTGTCCGCGTACTCTCTCCCCATTCCCCCCCCCCTTTTCCCCGTCTCCTTCAGCTGGTTGCTGCTCCTTCTCCTCACCCTCATCATTCTTGCTGCTCCTTCTTGCGTGCTCGGGTGCACTCCGAGGCCACCTGCATGCATCGGCACGACCTGGGATCCTGCCCCGAGCAGGCGGAGACGCTGGCCGTGAACGCTGGATTGTTGGCGGAGCAGCTGTACAACACCGAGACGAAGGCGACGTTGACGACGAAGCTGACGAAGACGACGACGACGACGACGACGACGACGACGACGACGACGACGACGACGACGACGACGACGACGACGACGACGACGACGACGTAGAGGACTGTCTCTGACGGTTACCTGACGTCGCTGCGCAGTCGGCCACGCCGACCCGCGGCGGGCACCTCGGGCGCGCAGTGCGCTCGGGGCGCGCCCAGCGCTCCGCCTGCCCGCGCAGCGGAGCTCGGGCGGAGGCTCCGCACAGCACGGCGGGGGCATCACAGGGCAGCCCCGAAGCCCGCACTCGCGGACCTACCCGCCCGCTCAGCGGCGCTCCTCCTCCTCCTCCTCCTCCTCCTCCTCCTCCTTTTCCTCCTCCTCCTCCTCTTCCTCCTCCTCCTCTTCCTCCTCCTCCTCCTCCTCCTCCTCCTCCTCCTCCTCCTCCTCCTCCTCATCCTACTCCTGCCCGCGTGCCCAGGCGTCGCAGGCCGCCGTCGCGCCCGCGCCCCTGGGTACCTGCCCGCAGGCCGCTCTTCCAAGCCCGCCTGCACGCCGCAGACCCCGGTCACCTGCTCCTGGGTGTCGCCCGCGCCGTCTGCGTCCTCCGCCGACTCATCCACGGGCGGTTGCGCCAACGCCTTCAGGTCGAGCGCCATGCTGGAGTCCAGGACGGCCCGCCACCGCTCCGCCCGCAGGGGTGGGTCCCTGCAGGCGGCATCGAACCCGCGGAGCAGTGCACGCTGGCACGCTCCCCGTCTCCCCAAAGTCGATCTCCGCGAACTCCAGGGCGTCGGCGTGGTCGCCCCCGGACGCCTCGTAGTTCTCCCTGGTTTGCGCCTCGTCCCGCTGGGCCTCCTCCAGCTCGTGCCTGACCTGGTCCACGATCCCCTGCTGCTAGCCCTCGGCGGACCTCCCGCCCGTCGGGCTCCTCGGCGTGCTCCGCCACCTGGCCTTTGGCGACGTGCGCTTCCTCCGCGAGGCGCTGCGCCTTCGGCGACCCGTTGAAGCCGCCGAACTTGGCCTCCTCGGCCGTCCGCGGCCGCGGCCGCGCCCGCGCTATCGGCAGCGGCAGCGCCCGCTTGACCTTCAGCGCCTCCTCGAGCTCGGCCTCGGCAACCTCGCGCCCCACCTCGCCCATGGCCTCCTCGAGGACTTCAGTGGAGACCCATGCCAAGCAACACCCTGCTTGCCTCCGGGGTGCCCTGGGTTTCTTGGGTTTCGATGGTGTTGCTGCGGAGAGCGTGACGTGCCCACACCAAGAATCAATGGACGTCCTGGGGTCTCAGGGTTGGGTCTCTTGTGGCAAGTTTCTTGTGGACTGGCCTCCCCTGCAGTAGTGGCTCCTCTCCTGTCGGGCATGCCGCGGTCGCGCCTGCCCGCGCCCCGGCCGCCCTGCTCCGCCATCTGTTGCACACGCCAGCGTCGTGGCGGCTCGCCGCCAAGGCCACCCCCTCACGCACAGGTGTGCCAGTGCCGCCGCCTTGCACCGCCGCCCCTCGGTCTGCCTGTGAGCCTCCGCCGCCGCCCATGCTCCCGCGCCAAGGCGGCATCCCAGCGCCAGTGCCCCCGACGGCCTCCCGCCTTGCTCTGCACGACCTGCCACCGCCTCCTTCCCAGGCGCGGCCCTCTCCACGCCGATGACTTTCACTTGGCAAGGGCTCCGACTTGGGCCGCGGGGCGCGGCTCCCTGCCGCGCTCCGAGGCCGCTCCTCGAGCCCTCTTGGGGGAGCGCCGCGCTGGCGGCCCCTCCCTCCCGCCTCCTCTCCGAGCCGCCCCCCTCGATGCTCACGTCGGCCTCCGCGAGCACCTGGACCGTGTCGCTCGGCGTGCCGATCTCCTGGGACTCCACCGCCTGCTCCCCGACGTTCTCCGTCCCCGCTCCCGCCGCCCTTCGCTCGTCGCCTCGGAGCATGCCCAACAGCGCCCGCCCGCGCCGCTGCCCCTCCGCCGCCGAAACGCCGCCGTCCTTCAGCGCGCACCCGGACACCTCCACGCCCTCCCACCGGTGCACAATCATTCAGGAGGGGAAAAAACACACAGACACAATTAATCGTCGATCCCCAGGAAAATATGGGAAAATATGGGAAGTGGGGGGGAAACAGAAACCCAGAAATTATGGAAAAATATAAGGGATATTTTTACGTGTGTGTATTTATTTGTGTGTCCTGGGGCCCTTAATCATGCTGATGACCGCCAGCGGCGCCCAGGCGGCAGCGCCGCAGCCGCACCAGGCAGCCTCCGCTGGGGAGGCCTTCGCCGTCCTCGCCGGGCCGCCGCCGGGCACCACGAGCTCCACCGGCGGCTGGAGACGCCTCCCGCCCAGCGCGCGCCGCCGGGCGCCAGTCCCCGCCCGAGGCGCCACCCTCGAGCAAGACCTCGAGACATAATTGTTACGGGCGACGACGACGACGACGACGACGACGACGACGACGACGACGACGACGACGACGACAACGGATACGTCGTCGACATCGACGTCGGCGGCGGCTGAGGTGTCGGCATTCACGACGACGGTTACGACCACGACGATGGTTGTGGCGACGACCACCACGACCGCGACAACGACGACGGCGGCGATGGCAACGACGGCAACGGCGACGAACAAAACACCGACGGCAACAGCGGCGACCGCGGACCCACCCGCGGCGGCTGGGAGGCGTTCCACTGCGTCAGGTACGGCGACCTGCCCAGCCTTGCCTCGGGCCTCGCAGCGGCGCTGACCGATGAGAGGGAACCGCTCTCAAAGGCGGAGGCCGCGATCCAGGGCGCGTGGATGGAGCCCGTTTTCTGCTTGTCCGTCGAAACACGGCATACAGTCAAGACGCTTAAACCACATTCATTCTGATCTCGCGAGGGGCCCTGGATGCCAGGCCGTTCCTTGAGTCTAGGTCGGGGGACCTGTGCGTACCAGAGGCTCACCGTGGCCAGACAAGCCTCTTCCTTCCTTGTTGTTGGCGTTCCTTATGGTGGCACGTTGGCGGTGTCGCAGGCCCCTCTTGGTCGGAGCGTCAGGGCGATCGCGAGAAGTGAGGCATGGCCTGCCAGCACTGCTGGCTGCCTGCTGCCGCCACGCGGGCGGGCCGTGCGCGCAGGGGCGGGGCGTCTTGTGGCCGAACCCTGCAGCGGGCCGCCGGCAGCGAGCCGACGGGCGAGCTCCCGAGGGCACGCCGACGGCGAGCCGACATGGGCTCTCGTGGGCACGCCGCCAGCGAGCTCCGGTCGGGAAGCTGCCGGTGGTTGGCCTGCGGGCTCCGCGGGCCGACGCGCGCGCCAGGCGGGGCCCGCGCCCCGGGCGCGAGGCACCCGCGGAAGGCAGCAGCTGGCGCGTTGGCTGGGCTGCCGGTTGGGCCGGCCGCCGGCGCAGCGGCGGCCAGGCCGCAGGGGGGCGGCGGCGGCGCCGCAGCGAGCCGCGTGTTGAAGCAGCGGCGAAGCGTCTTGGCTCGCGTATCGGCCCACGAGAGAATGTTCTAAGAACCGATTGTGGTCTGCACGAGATGAACTCAGGACAGTTGTGGCTGAGACTGTCTTGCTTTAACACATCGGGCTTACGTGCTAAGAACATGGTTTCATGATTCGAGCACTGCTGGGGTCTAAGAACATGTCGTGGTAGGCCGATGATGCCGGGACGGTCTGTCCCTGCTCAACGTTTGGGCGGGTTGGGAGGCAACTACGGGGAGGTTTTCGTCGGAAGGACTCAGGAGGTGTGGTGTAGAGCATGTGTCACATGTGACAGCGCGCCACTCGCTGCCGTTTGACCTCTAGGGGCCCCTGTTGCCATTGCGCTAAAACGTATCATAATGACTGGAAGACTAGGTCTTATTTGGGGGCTGCTACGCCAGATGAGGCCCCGGAGTCAGCGGGATTGAGCCAGATTGTAAGCGGGATGAAGCCGGAATAGGCGGGATTAAGCTGGGTAAAGCTGGATGTCGGACAAGGGCAAAGTCAGAAGTGGACCTCCCAGGAGTTGCATCCGAGCGCACCGCATCGCCGATGCGCCGCCGAGGCGTTGGCAGCCCAAACCCCCTCGCGCGTTGTGAAAACCGGATCACGGCAGGAGGTGTTTCGCTTCGAATGGCTCCGCGAACGAGACAGAGACCACGCGGCTCGAGCGCGAAGCCTGGAGCGCAAGCAGGCGGTCTGCGGGGCGCCGAAGCGGGCGGCGCCGAGGCGGCGGCGGACGGGCTGCGGTTGCGAGTGGAGCCTAGCGTCCCTCCCCCGCCCTCTTTGCCTCCCGCGCTCCCATTCCCCATTCTCTCTCTCTCTCTCTCTCTCTACGAATTCGTGTGCACGGAAGGGCTTGCCGAATTGCGCCAGCACGACGGTTCCAAGCCACAGTGTCCGGAGGTCCGCACATGCTTGGGGGATCGGCGCTGGCACCCCCCCTGGCGGCGCCCCGTGATGTTGGTTTTACGCTTGCGGGGAGCCTTCGTTGGTCGCGTTGTTCTGTCGCACCCTCGGTACAACAGGGCCGAGGCAGCCAGACACTGGTCCCACGACTAGCGAACATCCCTCTTGCCAGCTAGGCCAGGAGGGCGTATCTGCCAACCTGGGGCCGAAGACAGGCCTGACCAGGAACGGTGTAGACGGATATCCGTACTCCCGACGTGGCGTTTCTTTTACGGCGCGTATTTTGAAGCTCTCAACACCATGTCCGGGATCGGTGTTGAGGACCCCCCGTGCCCGAAGACGGCTCCCGGCAGCCGTGAAACGAAACGAAACAGAACCCCGCCAGGCTTCACTACGTTCCCAGACCTCCGACGTCAAGAGTTGCTCACAACGTCGACCCCCAAATGTCTCGGCCCCCGTTCCTCGGGAGCGGCTTGGTATCCCGAGCAGTCGTTCGATTGTCCTGGGGCCCAGAGAGGGCGCGAGAGGCCGAACAGTGCAAGATGGAAAAAAGTGTCCCGTCGTGATTCGTCCATGAGGTCGTTGGTGCCCCTCGAGAGGAGTCGAACGTGGGCGCGCACGAGCACCACGACCCCAAGGCGGACGATAAGGAAGTCAAGGACGGCCCAGGGCATCGGGCCATCCCCGCATCCAGGCGAGGAGAGGAGGAGGGGGAACGGAGGAGGAGGAAGAGAACGATCGGGTGGACGAGGAGGATGGAAGCACAGTCATC